TGTGCTGGAATTTGTGATGACTGTCAACTAGCCACTAATATTGGATTTACGGCTATTTGAAAATTCACTCTTGATATTAAAAACCCTGCTGCCAAATTACATTTTGTTTTCTCCACCCATCTCAGACTCTGAATATTATATATATCTAAAGTTCACTGTAGTTTATAACTATTTGCACAGAAGTCGGACCAATTTGCGGTCTTTAACAAAGTTGTTCTGTATGGTTTGCCAATCGAAGTCTCAGGTATGGGCAAAATTGAAAAAAAGTGTGAATTTAAGACAGGTAAAAGTAAGTGATTGAAAAGTTGTTCTATTTCGTCGTATAACCGGGCACCCAGAGGTGGCAACAGCACATTTTTTGAAAAACCATCGTCCAGAGCGAAACAAAACAGCCAGCACACGGGCGGCCGTTTATAACTACATTCCAAGCGAACAGCGGAGATAGAGAATAAATAAAATCTCGCAGCCTGATTTTTCCAAACAGTTTATTGTAATGAAATTTTAGCTGCAGGCTTGCGTGTGACAGTAAATTACCAACTTCCTTATTTACGCATAATTTTAACATCAATGCTTATGAGTGGTCAGTCTTCATTCTTATCTTTTAATTCCATGCAATAAACATCAAATAAATGCAGTAATTAGCCAGAAATCAGCAAATTCTACACGACATAAATTTATGTCGCGCGCGCCGCCGGTCTTGTCTGCTTCTTTGTGCGAAAATGTTCTGTCGCTGGCAGAAAACAGTTTAGAAATGTCATGACATTTTTACTGCTTGCCAGTTTGTTTTTGTGTGTCGTCAAAATGGTTACCGCAAAAAGTATCAAATGTTAAGGAAAAATGTTAAACTCCAGGACTCGTGCCACCACTGCGGGCACCTCTATATGTACTGATTCATCTTTTAACATAACTATACTTGTTTAATAAATCTACGCCTACGACAGGGTCTAAATGTTCCGGAAAGCCCAAACTCATTAATTTAAAAACTAATGCCTGATACCCGCTAGGTATTTACCGAAATCTATTACATTGAATATATTACATTTGAATGGTGTGGCAAATTGGGAACATTTTGCGGCAAATTAGGAACATACACTCCTGATCATAAGCTTGAGGTCATCCCATAGAAAACATGCAAAGGTTTTTTGTTGAGATTTCTACCATTTTCCGTCTGATTTTATTTATCTTTAGGTCTTTTGAAAGGTATTGGGCGGAACTCACTTCGTAGGTGTTTGGCTCAGGATATTTTTCAAGTTAATAAATCAAATGGCTAGTTAACTCATCAATCAAAGGTTTGGGGTCCCTCCATAGCATGGTGTTTCACTGTTGTAAATTTAGTGAAATTTTAGTATAAAAATGATGAGCCACGTACCAGACATCTATTGAAAGGCAAATGTAAGAGAAATGAACGAAACCTTTACAGGTTTTGTTTTTAGGATGCATTCAAACTTTTGAGCGATACATACATCGTACCCCAAACTTTTGATCGATGACTTGAATTTGAATAACTATTTTATTTATTTAAGATGAATTCTACATTATTCTACCAAACTTTCACGAACGTTCCTTATTGTGTATAGAATAAGGGTCCTACTACCACTCTCATTTCAAAATTTGTCCAACTCACTTATGAGAAAATCAGTCATAAATATTCAGTGTGAATTTTGGAAAATGTTGTGACTTTAGTGGAAGTTTTAGTATACAACATTTGCAAAATATACTGAGTCGTTCGATACCTTTCAAAAGGCCTAAAAGAACTAAAATTTGACATAGTTGAAGATGCTAATTTCAAATAACAGACTAAAGTGGTAATTTTTATACGATAGATGAGGATAGATGATCACCGATACATATCGTCGGTACTTGAGCGGTCGGTGATCATCTTTCAAAAGCCAGTGGCGTGGGGGGGGGGACACACCCCTCACCATCCCTCTCCAAAGGGGGAGTTTGGTAAAGAGAGATGATAAAACCGATTTGTAGCTTTCTAAAGTTGTCCTAGCTCGCTTTCTACTCTCTGCATGCAATTTTCACACTGCCGTACTCTAAACGGAACTATCAATTCTATACTTTCATCTCCTAATGTATCGTATAAAAATTACCACTTTAGTCTGTTGGCTTCACGCAGAAGTAATACTAAACATATAGTCAAAGTAAAATTTGACGGAAAATAAAAGAGAAGTCAACAAAAAACATACGCATTTTTTATGGGGTTATCCCAAACTTATGATCGGGAGTGTAGGAAAATCAATGCGTCATTACGACGTACGGTGTTAAAAATATGTTTTCCCAGCAGTTTTTAAAAATATTTCACCCAGTTTTATATTTTACCCTATTTTTAGATATTTCAGATAGTGACATGAAAAATTTCAAAGAAATTCATCAACTGTTGATTCATTTAATGAACATTTAATTTTATATTTCCCTAACTGCGTCAAATGTGGTGCCTCCACGGTATTATGTGCTGCGCGGAATTAGGGCAGGTCACGGTATAATTAAAAAATGGCAGGACTGTTACAAGATTTTCTAAATTTGTTCCGCGAAATCCGCGATTTCTCAAAATAAATCCGCGACTTCAAATACTAATCCGCGACAAATAAAAAAACAGTTAGCGGCGCCGATGGTGTAGTGGTGGATTGCCTCTCACCCCAGCTGAGCTGGGTTCAATCCCGGCCGGCGCCGCCGGGATGTTCTGAGGCATAACATCTCTGATAACGCCTTCCTTCGCGTCGGTAGCACTGGTGCTCAGCACGGAAAACAAGATCGACGGAAAACAAATCAAAAAAAAAAAAAAAAAAAAAAAAAAAAAAAAAAAAAAAAAAAAAAAACAGTTGCTTAAAAATACCAAATGTATTACTAATACATGGCATTTCAAGCTTATTGCTTATAGCATATTAGATTTTTGCTTGATCTTAACTTAGTGTTCTTTGAAGCACTTCCACATTTTAATTGAGAGCTTTCTATGCCTGCCCAAGGAAGTTGAGAAATAGTATGACTGAGCTAAGGAAATATCATTTGCACCCTTAAAAAAAATAACAACCATGTATCATCTTCTTGTATGTTCTTGGTAGTATACATTCTGAGTAAGTAGTGAACATAATAAAACACCCTTCCATTATAAAATTATATTAAATAAAACCGGCCTAAATTTTCGGAAACAATTTTTTACAAATTTACTGCATTTTCATTTGAAATGCATATTTTCTTGAAAATAAACCTTTACGTCCCTGACAAATTTTGCTGCCCTAAATTTTGTCATTAATTTGGCTCTAGTTTTCTTAATTTTTAACAAATTTAAACCAAACACCCTACAAATAGTCGAAAAATTATCATATTTTCATTAGTCACACTTGTTGGTCAAGTCAGACTAACGGTTCTGGATTTACACGGTTATTCCTGGGGTCTGTCCAATGGTTAGTGAGACCTTTCATGATATTTTTTTTATTTCTAATATGAACATAGCTTTTTTCGTTGTGACTTTCTCGATCATGCACGTCTTATTACCATGTATACCAGAAATTCTAGGTTCTCCAGATCGTCCAGGATGGATATCAGTTGATTTGTTCTACCGGTTCAACCAAGACTGCAATAATGTCTGTAGTATTGAAATATGTCCAATCAGATTCAAAGTGTCTATTTCGATGATGCATGACCTATTTACGAGTATTCCAAATGTTCTAGGTTCTCCAAATAATCCTGGAGTTCAGATAATTTGTTCTACTAGAACAACCATGCCTGGGACGATGTTTGTAGTATTAAACTATATCAAAACAGATTCACAGTGCCATGCACGAACTATTGCCATGTTCTAGGTACTCCAAATCGTCCTGGAGTTCAGATGATTTATTTTACTAGATCAACCATCACGGATAATGTATGTAGTATTGAAATAGATCCAAAGAGATTCATAGATCGATTCGGAAATCCTATAACATCTGGCATACACGGAAATAGGTTGGCAAGATCCACATAGACACTGCAAATCTTTTTGGACATATTTCGATACTACAGATATTAAATTAGTCTCGGGTGTTCTAGTAGAACAAATAATCTGATTTACATAATGATTTCAGAACCTATAACATTTGGACATATTTCGATACTACAGACATTATTGCAGTTGGGAATAAAACAAAATTCATGAAAATGTCTAACATTGGACAAGACCCCAAAGAATTTCCGTGTGAATCCGGTGTGACTTATGTAACGGTGATAATTTCTCGATTATTTGCAGGGTGTTTGGATTGAAAAAATTGAGAAAACTAGAGCCAAATGAAGAACGAAATTGATGACAGCAAAATAATACGGGACGCAAAGGTTAAAATGAATTCCGCAATTTTTATGATAGCACATCAGTCTCTTCGGGATTTTCGTGACATCATTTAAAGTTTCCACGATTATTGTAACAGCCCTGCAATAGTGAAAGCACCATAAGTTAAACAGTTTTTTTTTTTTTTTTTTTTTTTTTTTTTTTTTTCGGCCATAACTGGCCGTTTGGATTACCCTAGACTAAGAAAGCCATAAAAATAAACCTCCCTACATACCAGCCGAACAACCTATTAAAATAGTGTCGAATTATGGGCAGTTTGATGATTTATCTCTATATTCTCCTTATAGCCTTTTATAGCAGAACCATGTTCCTAACCGTTGATACAAAGAATAAATATGCTAATACAACGGTGATTTCGCGATATTATCGTAATCTTAATTTTCTTCGTCATTAAAAAAACCAGATTCAGACTTAAAAAATGCCATGAGAACGCAACAAAACTGGTACTGTTGCTTGGGTGTGAAATTGAAAAGGATAATACACCAACCTTTTTTTACGCGGGTACATATTTTTCATTATTTGTAGTGATGTTAGAAATTTTTTTGCAGGTACCATATTATACACCAGTTGGTATAAATGTATAAATCTCATTGCTTCATCCCGTTTGACAGAGGAAAAAAAAAGAAGTCACACACTACTGTACACAGGGATCATATATGTATAAGTTCCAACTTACCTCAACGAATTATTCAGCGCATCAATCTCCCGACGGAGGGCATCCATCTTCTCGTTGGTGGCGGACCGTTCCGAGCGCAACTGTTTGATGTACTCTGCACCCTTCTGCAGCATTGCGGCCTTGCTCAGCTGTAACAAAGATAACAAAAGCAAAAAACTTGGGTTGAAACCAGTTCTACCTTAGGCACACAAGCATCTGTGCCCTTAGCCGGTTTGATTTCGAGCCCCCACCTTGGCGTTTGGATTCTGTTGCAGCTGAGGAATGAGCGAATGCAGCATGTCGAAGCCGTTCTTGATGTTGTAGCGCCGTTTCTGTTCGGCATGAATGTGTCCCGTCCGTCGCTGGCTGTCGGATCGACCTTGTTGTTGCTGGTGGAATTTATTGCCAACTCCGCCAGAACTTGAACCGCATCCGCCGCCACTGGATTCGCCTAGGCCGGAAGCATTGCCAACGGGCGACATAGGTGTGTCACTGTCAAGCATTGAATCGGGAGATAGACTCTGTAGCGGTATGGAAATACCACTGTAGGAAGCAGATGAGGCGAACGATAGCACGGAACTTTGAGCTGGTGTGTTACTCCGGGGTTGTTGCAGCTGAGCGTTCGGTTGAGATTGGTTCAGCTGCAACTGAGAGGAAGTTGGTGATATTGGACTACCTAGCGGGGGTTGTTGGTAGTGCGAATGTTGCTGCTGCTGCTGTTGCTGTTGAGCAATTTGTTGGTGAGATTGTTGCTGGGACGTTTGTAAGTTACTTATGGCACTGGACGTTGTAGTCTGTTGCTTAACGTTAAATAAGGTACTCGTATCTGTAATAGATGGTATGATTTACTTGAAAAAGATAATTATAAATGCAAACACTTACTGTTAGTAGTTAGTAACTGCGCCAACAGCGCGCTATTTCCCATGTTCAACACTGGTTCACTAGAAGCTGCATGAAGCCCAGGATTCATGCTTGCTCCACCTATAGCTACCGCCAAACTGCTACTATTTCCAAGCTGCTTCATGACCATTGAGTTACTACGAGTTCTTAACTTTGGATTTGGTTTGGCTTGGTACCGAGGAACAGCAAAGTTTTCAACCTCCTTCGGTGGCAGCGGGAAGGTAGCATTGATAGGTAGACTGTTTGAGCGGAACATTTCTTTGGTTGGGTGTGGTGGTAGTCGTTTATGTTGCGATTGAGATGAAGATTGATGTTGCTGCTGCAGCTGGAGATCTTGTAACTGCTGTTGGGATTGCTCTATGGAAGGTTGCTGATTCGAACCTACATTTTGCTGTTGATGGCCATGGGGAGGAGACGAATGTCGCATACTACGGCCTGTATTTCCATACGGTAATGTATTCTGTGAGGGAATTTTGTATGGTTGCGGTTGATGACTGTGGTAGGATTTGTAGCTTGAGGTTTGAGTATGAAAGGATCCCTTGAATGCATCCTGATGGTGCTGTTGAAGAAGGGCTCCCTGTGGGGAGTTTTGTGATTGCATCATCGGAGGATAGTTTTGTGCTGTTGGCATCGAAATTGAGCGTGGTTGAGGTTTCTGATTAGTCCCTTGGTTGTGTACCGGAAGTGACTGGCTATGTGTGAGGAGCTTCGAGCTCATACTCTGCATTAGCAGGTTCGGATTGCTGCCCCCCGAAACGGCACTGTTGGTTAGATTCATTGGGTTTCCAGTGGAGCTCGTGGTTTGCGGTTGTAAGTTGTAGTTCAATAAATTCTGGTTGGGAGGCGTTCCGGACATTTGGATGATTCCGCTTGGTTGGATATGATAGGCAGAAGACTGGTAGGAATTGTTGAGAATATTTTGATTCAAGTGCGGCTGTGAGACAAGATTATACGCCATTGTTTGATGTGTTGTCGGTGGGCATTTATCGTAATTGTGAGGCTCACGTCTAGGAGGAGCAAGGGGAAAGAACGACCGTTACTAACTGTATAGCGATAGAAATAACGTGACAAAACTTACCCTAATATTCTGGGGAAGGAACGGGAAAACCTTGGTTTACTGTCTTTGTTGACCTCGTCACTGGATGCTGTATTTTCACTATTATCAGATGCTATAGGAACGTTTGCAGTTACAATTGCTGGCTGCTGTCCGAGCTGTGCAGATAGGTACGACCCTATCACGTTACTCAATTGCTGTTGCTGTTGTTGAGCGGATGTAACTGTCGCTGATGATGAAGCGGATGATGTGTCGGCGAGACTTTGAGCAAAAATCTTTGCAGAGTATTGAATTGTGCTTGGTGCTAAAGATGACTGCTGCTGCTGCTGCTGCTGCTGTTGGTTGATGCTTAAGGAAGTCCCAGGGCCAGTGATCACAGAATTACTGCTATTACCCGTCCTAGCGGATATCAGCTGCGACGAAGTTTGCTGAGTGGTGCTTTCGGTTGAATCGTTAATCTCTTGAATGTTGCTACCACTATTCATTTGATTGAAACCTAAATTTAGTTTTGAACGTATAAAACAGGTACCACGATAAAAATGTAAACCGCTTCCATACCTCCGGGGTAGTTATAGTCGATCGCTTTCAGGATATCCTCGGATCCTTCTTCAGGTACAGGTGCCAACCGTGGAAAATTTAGGAAGTCCAAATCCAGGTCCATTAAATCCTCAAAGTTAGGCTGCAGCGGTCCGAGGCTTGGCTGAATGAAATCCGATCTACCCGCTCCACGCGCTGAAACGGACACACACGGAATAGGAAATCATAACTTTTATGGAACATTCATGTAGGCACTTACCTATTTCTCTAGAATCTGGAAACGGATACTTTGACAGTGTGGAAAGTAGGGTATCAGTAGACATACTATCGGCAATCATAAACAGTGGTTCACTGCTGTGGGGTGACCATTCGAAAAAGTCTAGCTCGCTAGTCTGCAATAAATTGAATAGCAATGAATTAGTTTGGAACCATTTTAAATTTACGATTAAAGAGAGTGTCCTTTTTCTGTGCAAATATCCATCGAGTAAAATTATTGAATAGCCGTCGCTGTGTAGTGTGATTGCCACTTGCACAATCCGTGGTAAGGGGTGATGGATATATTATGTAACGCTATAAGGGGGGAGGAGGGTTTATGATTTTGTGACAGGCAATGCATTAGGTATAGGAAAAGCGTGACGAAAGGGGGGAGGGAGTTTGTTTTTCCTCAATTTAGCGTGAGATAATAAATGGATCACCCCTAACAAAGTGCAACACCGTCACCCAAAAGGTAATTCGTAAGCATTTGGAAATAACCCTTGGTGTAATCGTAATGCAATTTCGGTTGCTTGAGTACATAAGTGTCTATATTTGTTTTGTTTACGAGAATACGAAGAAGCACCGGTGAGTAACAATAGCATAATTTGGCCGTTATGTATCAACTGTAACGTTACTGTGAGCTCTGTTAATTATCCGTAATGAGTCCATGAACGAATAACGCACGTATTTTACGGTGAATGTTTTCCAACCAACCTTCCATTCGACATCCGTCTATTGTGCTATTAGTGTAAACTGGAAATGTGCACCTCGCTACCCGAGCAAAGCTGGAGATCAAATTGAAATTGAAATTTGCTGTTATGATGTAACTTATTTTGAATATTCCAATTGATCTCATTTTGATTGAATTGACGCTTAACACAATAAAAATAGGAGCAAAATTTTATACTGTTGAAGTAAACGGAAAACTAATCCTGCTTTAAATTAAATCAATTTGATTACTGATTTTGCATTGCAACTGTTTAACTGAATACGGGTCTGGAGTAAGTGATAAGTGTTCATGTTTTTTTACGCCGAAAGACTTGTTAACCGACTTTGCTCGGGTACTTGCATAACTAAATTTCTGAAAATTGTCTTTTCATTGTAACGTACTTAGCTGAATGCGCATTTTTGCTGGATGAAACCTGGATTGCATTGGCACTCCAAGTACCGGTGGACTTCATTGCCCTGCTACTTTATGCGATGTGTTCGTTAGCGTCGAGACGGTCAACGAAATGTGTCGGTTAGATGTGGACATGAGTGGAAAAGTCAATTTTTCGTTTACGAAAGTACACCTTGAATAAAAATCATGGAATCGTGGCAAAATAAAAGTAATGTTTGCACTACGTTGCACCGGGCACCAGCAAAGGCAACAAAAGTCATAGAAACGTGAACTCTGTTCTGAAAATCATGATCTTGTTCTGGTAAACGTGATTAAAGTTCATGAGTTGTGCTTAATATCGTGAACCTGCTCTCGAAAACGGGAACATGGTTCATGGACGGTAAAACGTCAACATTAAAATAATTTTCAATGTTTTGATTGGATTGTACAGCATGAGAGTGGAAGGCAACTAAAAGGACAGAAGACTTGGCTGGAATAACCGAACAATGCAGGTTTCATCCATACCCCAAATTGGAAGCAGGTATCTGTCCAGCAGATGGAGTGGACGCACTTTCAGCTCATCAATTCAACGGATCTGGTTCGTGGTATCACGAAGTCATGATTTAATTTTGTATTTTGCTTATCGTTACGAAATCGCTAGTCGAGCTGAACAGGCGTGAACTAAGATTTATTCGATCATGAAAAGCGAATATTCATTGATCATAAAATTATGACTTTCTGATAGCGAAATTGACAGATTTCATGTGTCAAACACAAACTTTACAAAATCTTCTTGTAACTTGCAAGTGCATAATATCACCATAACATCTAATGATTTCATGGGGTCTCCCTTAGCTCAGTCGGTAAAGGCGCAGCTATAAATCAAGATCATGCTGGAGGTGGTTGGGTTCGATTCCCGGTCCGGTCATGGAATTTTTCCGGTTGGAAAATTTCTCGACTACCCTGGGCATATATGATTGTACTTGGCACACAATTATGGTACAGGCATCGAAAGCTCTCAACCAATAACTGTGGAAGTGCATCAAGAACATTAAGTTGAGAGCACGCAATAAGCTAATATGCGATAAACAATTAGCTTGAAAGACGAAGCAGAAGAAGAAGAAAATTTCAAAATTCCGAAACACATTTTTTACAGTAAACGAATGGTCGCAACCCTGCTTTAAACTGATCGTCAATCATTTGTATAAAGTAACAGGTTCTATGAGATAGTCATCAGTTTTAAGCGTACCATGTAATCACTTAAGAGAAAAAATGTAATCTAGTTGTGAACACTTTACCATTCTACACGGGACGATGGACTTGCCACAGCTGCTTACCAACCTAGTTGGCAAAACTAACATTTTCGGCTACACTGCATTAAGTTATGATGCCAAAAGTGTTCAATTTTGTTTAGTAAGCGAAGTCAGAAAACTTTGCTATGCCGTGACAAGCCATCAACAGATTTGGAATGTCATATTATTCTGATCAGAACAGCAAAACAGCCGTCATCAGCTTCATGTTGGTCAGCTACGTGTACTTTCTCCATGATATTTTCATAGTGATGAACAATTTGTATCAATCTCATGAGTACTTAAAGTTATTTAATCGTATACTCGTAGTGAACAAAACTATGCATACGCACTTGTTCTATCGGCCGAGTATCGCGCATATCCTCTTCGAAGTTAAAACGAGACAACTGCTTGTGGTAGTACTATACGTTGGTTTAAACACTTTGACGGTCGTGATTAGAGGAATTCTATTCAACACATGGGATCTGTTAAAATTCTCTATCGCATACAGTATTGTCATGGTAACTTGCAATATGTACTATATACTGTCTTTAACAGTTGCAACAGTGATTGGGAATAAGTTCAGTTTTCTTAATCAGCTGATTGCGAACAGTACTTCAAGTGCTTGTAGCCACTGTTCGGAAGTTGAATTATGTGAAATTCTTACAACTAGCTTCCGTTGTCTGGATCAGCTGTACGACATTTTAACACTCTACTACAATAGTTTTGGAATCTGTTATATGGTTTCAACGCTAACGGTTTTCTGTGAGACTACTCTTCAAGCTTTTTTCCTGTGCGACAGACTGATGATGCCGGAAATTGTTAACAATAGTAACATGAATAATACATTGTACCATGCATTCGATGCTGTATGGACAATCTGTCAATGGATTACCTTCGTCTACATGGTAGCTGAATTCAACAATTTAAAGAAAAAGGTTTGTATATAGGGTAGGTGTACCAGTTATGACTATACGTTTATATTATGGTGCGTTCCAATTATGGTCTATGGGAATTCTATAGACCATAATTAGAACACACCAGTGGCGTCACGTAACCTCACTTTTTACCTGTGCACCAACTTTTCAAATCCAGATTTAATGCTATGTTAATACTCGAATTCGTCGTAAAATGCACATAAACTTCTAGTTTGCTTGATATCCATCCATTTCAAGCAACATATTGATAATTGATTATATTTTGAGAATTGGTTTACATGTAGATTGAGGTTAAGGCGCGTCACTGGAACACACCATAATAGAAGGGCTGGTAGTGGGTATGTGATGTAATAGTAGTGACTTTAGTGACTAAAATAACGAGAATAGTGACCAAATAGTGACTTTTAAACAATAAAAAAAGTGACCAATATTGACATTTATTTATTGGAAAGATTGATTCCAATCTTCGGTTGACTTCGATTGCCACTTCGAGAAACTATAATTTTACAAACCATCCCATAAATGTGCTATCGAAGGCAAGAGCACGGTCCAATTCTAATCTCCTTTTCCTACTTCGATTTTTTTTTTAAACACACAATTTACTAAGTTGATATTAGATGCACACCATGAATTGGTGATTATACCCCGTTCATATTACAGACTGTATAACGTAATATAGGCTGCCTTGCAATGAGCACTCATACATAGGATTTCCAATGAAAACTAGATGTATGAGTTCTCATTGCAAGACAGCGTATATCACGTGATATACGCTGTAATGTGAACGGGGTATTAGATCGCAAAATTAAGGCACATTTCAAAGCCACGGATTTAGATAATTTTTTACAATTTTAGGACATTTTTAAAGATTTAGGATATATATGAAGCGATGCGTCGGGAAGAACAGCAGTCTAGAATTAAATTTACATAAATCTAAGTTAGCCATGAGTATTTTAATAAAAATATCCTTCTCTTCTTTGTAGTCTATAGCTATAACGGACTGGTTGTCTTTTTACTTTGCCCCATTCCTGTTAAGAAAATAGTCTTCTGTACCACCTCATAGTAACAAAGAAAAAAAATTAAACGTTTAAGTGATGCCAATTTGAGGATCATCGAAAAGTCCGATAAAATTTAAGTGAAAATCATTTGATTTCTATGTGAATCACTTAAATGTAATCTCTCCCCCAAAACACGTAATATCTACGTGCCTTTTCAGGTGAATTTTACGTTACTTTTTGTTGCAGTGTAGACTAGGTAAATGTAGAATAGCCAGAATATTGGGTTTGGGTTTTTTCGTCTATGAAAATTTTGAGATTTAAAAAAAAAAATCAAAATATTAGTGATTACGTCAACGTTTCCATCTGTTCGCAACTCTTCTTGTCAGACATAACACACTGAATTAAATCTTTTACAAATTTATTACAAAATCAAGCTGTGATTTGATGTGAGTTTTAAAGCCAAATTCTTTACTCTCAAGTTGAGAGTCTCAACATCGATCGAAAAGAGGGACTTTAATGACTAAATTTTAAAGAATAGAGACTGCGCCGAACGGAGTGCACCGCTCATTGTGTGGATCGCTTTCTCACAGATTAGTTGGAAAACAGTGTGCCAAGTAAATGGGAAGTAAATGGGAGAACCACATACTCTTTGTCGAGTTTTGTGAGATGCATGCATAAAGTTGCTCTGAGGTGTTTTCCACCCCTGGTTTTGGCTCTGACTAGGGGGTATATTATTTAATAAGGTAAATGCACGATAACCTTTGTTCAGAAAATTTCAAAAACTCAAATTTTACGCTTGACTATTCGCCTATG